TTTAGCAATGCTGCTCCACAGTTTATCAGCCGTACCTGTTTCACCTCCAGTTTTAATCTCATAGGCGGATTTGACTGTAAATAATCGGTTAGGGGTCCATTTCCACCCTGGATAATCTATGGCTTGAACCTGTATTGGAGTCATCGTGGCTATCAATATTTTATTTTTAATTAGATCAATATTTTATTGAATAATATATATAGATATATATTTGTATCGAGCTGAATGCGAATTTATTATAAAATGGGTTGAGTTTCGGGTCAGATATAATTTCCTTAAAATAATGTTAGACCAGGAGGGAATATTTTTTTCTTTGGTCAAGTCAAATTGACCAAAAATATAACTCAACTCAATTCCATCTCCGATTCTTAATCTTGATACATTCATATATTATTATACGTGGATCATGTTTAATAATATTCTGATCAAAATCCGATATATTTCGATTATAAATTTGTATGGTTGTGATGTATAATGATTGTTTTGAATATATTTCAATTATCGACCTATCTATTTGTGTTCTGATTCTGATCATAATAATTTGAAACTATTTTTTTTATTAATCACTAGTATTAAAAAATATAATATCACATAAAATGGAGGACAAGAGTGTGAAAAACAAAAATGAGAAACACATTTCAGATAAAAGAGAGTGAACAAATAAATTTTCATTGTTAACTAAGTGCAAGTTTTGGTTTGGTTTGAGTTTGACCGGTGCTCATTCGGCACCATTTTTGTTTCATTTTCTTTTCCTCTTAAATAATAGCCGTAAATACAAATAATATTGTTTTCTCATCAGCTGCCTACTTTTCCATCTTTCCCTGGAAAGAAGAAGAAGAAACTCACTTAAAAACAGCTTTCTCCATTAGTTTTCATTGTCCTGCAAACTGGATTTCTGGGTTTTCGCCTTTCTCCGCTTTGCCCTTCTTGGTGTTTCGCTTGCATGACCTGCTTTCATAAGGTTCGATTCTTAACACCCTTTTTTGTTATCTTCTTACTGTTGAATTTCCATTCATGATCCCAAAGTTGGGTTTTTAACATGAGGTCGTGGGATCGAGTACACAGAGTCATTTCATAATTCGGAGGTCTCTTACACAAAACTGCTCTCAATCAGGTGGGACAGTCTACTATCTTACCTCTCGGACAGCCATCCCAAAGTTGGGTTTTGCTTGAAGATTGTGGTTTTTTGGTTTGATACGGGCTTGAATGCGTGCTCTTTGCTTTATATTAATCGTGCATTGCTGATTGGGTAGATGTGGAGTTTGTTCTTTTAATTTTTCTTGCTTTTGGATTATTTTGGATCTGGGTTTAGTTTTTTTTTATTCAGCCAGATGGTAAATTTATGTTGCCCGGTTGTGTATATGGTGATTTGTGGAGCTTTGGATAATTTTTTGTAGTTTTAGGAATTTTCCCTGCAATTCTTTATCTACTTAAATTGTGCTGTCAGCTTATTCACTGAATTATTTTGGAGTTCATTTAGTTTTCTGCCTTGATAAATTAGTGTAATCTGTTGCACTTGGTCCATGTAGTTGTTTATTGCAAACTTGAAACCTCCTTTGTTCGAACAAGGTCTTAGTTGTCGGACTCTAAGACGCAGCTGTAGAATCTATGCGGTGATTGCATCGAAGATACGGTAATCTGTTTCACTTGGTCCTTGTAGTTGTTTATTGCAAACTTGAAACCTTCTTTGTTCGAACAAGGTCTTAGTGCTTGGACTCTAAGACGCAGCTGTAGAATCTATGCGGTGATTGCATCGAAGATACAGTAATCTGTTGCACGTGGTCCATGTAGTTGTTTATTGCAAACTTGAAACCTTCTTTGTTCAAACAAGTCTTAGTGGTTGGACTCTAAGACGCAGCTGTAGAATCTCTGCGGTGATTGCATCGAAGATACGGGGTTTGCTTTGATGTGGCTAGAATCAAAATGTGGTGCAATCTTTGTTTAGATATCGTTTTGAACATGTATTCTAGGCGCAGGGAATTTCGGAATTTTGTTGGTGGATATGAATCGTTCATCTGATTGATATGATAAGATGATGAGTTAGTCCAATCTCTATTTGTTCTAATCTTGCCCTGTTTGTAATAGATGTCTTATGCCTATGTATCGGAATGATTTGTGTTCTCACCTAATGAAAATTTCCTAATGATTTGCATGTTTTCCTTCTTGCAGAAACATACAAGACATGGAGATAGTTTCTGTAGTTTGTATATAAGATGGGTTGTTTTGCAGTTATGAAAAGTAAGAAGAAAAAGTCTGAGCAGTCGGCCTTTGTTAAACCTATTGCTCATAAGGAGCATATGCCGACCACACTTCCTGAGCCCAAAGTTCCAACACGATCGCTGCAATCTGCACCCTCAAGTTTTAAAACCCGGGTAAAACCTATTCAATCTGATAACAAAGCAACCAGCAGCAGGGCACGTGCACGTACATTATCTGCTCCGTCAAGTCTTGATGCTGCTGAGCAAGATTCTCTTGCAATGGTTGAATTTGAAGAACAAGAAGAGCTAAAGATTTCTGCTGGAGTAGCCAAGGAACAGCGGTCATCAAGTCCGCAACCGTTGCCGCTTCCATCTCCACACAGTACTTCACTGACAACAATAGGAAGCTTTAAAGCAGTGAATGCCAGTGGCCCTCAGTCTGCTTCTGGACCACTGCCCCTGCCTCCCTCCGGAACACTACGAAACTTCTCTTATGAAGAAATTTCAGCTGCTTGCCATCATTTCTCTTCTGATCGATGCACGTCCGAGGGTCTTTCTTCTGTTATGTATATGGCTTCTTTTGGAGATGATGCATCGAGCTCAAAGAAGTTTGAAGCCACTGTTACTCGCCTTCACCCATCCACTCAGGTACGGGAAAATTTCTACCAGTGGAACTTCATGGTTTATGGCACAATCTGTTTCGTGAACCTCTTTGCATTTGTATCCCTTTAACACTCTTCTGCATATTGATTCATGGTTCCCAATTTAAAAGAAGGAAATTGGTAATTTAGATTAGTCTGCATGCTTTTACTATTGCCGTCGAGAATTTCAAAGTGTGAATATTGTGGTTGTTATGCTGCAAAAATAAATTGATACTTTTATTCCGGTCTAACGTTCTTCTTTCCTATTGTCTTGTAGGGTTTAAGGGATTTTATAAATGAAGTAAACACTCTCGCATCGTTGCAGCATCCAAACCTCTGTAAATTGCTTGGATTCCACGCACGTGATAGTTCAGAACAAAGAATGTTGGTCTACGAGAGGCTGTTTCATGGGAGCTTAGACAGACTTCTGTAAGGGAGAGTAGATGGACCTCCACTTGATTGGAACACCCGAATGAAGATTGCTTTATGTTCTGCACAGGGCCTTACCTTCTTGCACGAGGAAGGACCATTTCAGGTAGTTTCTAAATGAATTGTATCATGTGCCCTATGGTTGAACTTTGATCTTGCACAAATGAGAATGGCAGTTCTTTTAGAAATAAGTTCTGGCTTTCTCGATCTAATCCTTTTGGGATCGTATGAAACGATTTTCCTGTTCTTGCTACATTAGTTTGTGTGTTAGTAACTTTTGGAAATTTGCTTCTGTTTTCCCGATTACTGTTCCACTTTTATCCATGCATAATAACCGAAATAAACCGAAACGTTCTATCATGTGCAGGCAATGTACAACGAATTTTCAACCGCTAATATACACATTGACAAAGATTTCAGTGCAAAGCTTTCTGGATACGGGTGTGTTGGTCATATCCTAGAGACAGAAGATATCTCTGGTAATTCACTGGTAAGTCATTTTACCTCGTAATCGATCTTTTAAAGACTAATCATGTGTGCCGAGTTCACTAGATTTCCGCTGATCTCTCTGATGCCGTAAAAGTTACTTGTGTGAGTTATTTGTTATCGATTTTCTCCATTGGTGCAGGCTGTGGCAAATCTCTCGGTAGAGACACTGGAGAGAGGATGGCTAACTCCATAGAGCAATGTTTGGAGTTTCGGTATTGTCCTACTTGAATTACTTACTGGCCGTAAGAATCTCGACAGCCGTCATCCGAGGGAAGAGAGGAACCTAGTGAAGTGGAGCCAACCGTTTCTGGCGGACGATTGTAGATTATCACTCATAATGGATCCTTTGCTCAAAGGTCGTTTTCCTATGAAAGCCTCACGCACAGTTGCCGACATTGCGCAAAGATGTCTCCAAAAGGACCCATCGGAGAGGCCTACCATGAGAACCATGGTCGAGAATCTCAAAGTCATCCAAGACATGAAATATTCATGTCGGTTCCCCCTGCAAGAGCCCGCAGCGATTCCCGGGAAACATTTGTCGAGGTGGCCGAGTCTTAACGGTATCGTTACTCTTGCAACTGCACCCAAATTCGGTTTCTCCCATCACCACCATCTGGACCCGGCTTTCTGTTTCTCCTACAAGAGCAGCTGTTTTGCCATCAACTCTTCCACCTCGAGCTTGTTCCTACCCTATCATTAGAGGAACTCGAACCGCGAGAAAACCGGAGATCGTCGGCGGCAACCCTTAGAAGGGCTAGTGTGGAAGGATTTTGATTGTTTATAATATTATTTTTTTCCATTTTCCCTTATTTTTCTTCCTTAAATTCAACATCAACATATAGAAGATAAAAGATGTGATTCTTCCACGTATATACCCCCATGCCTAGGTAATGAAATAGAGAGCTTGCTGTTTTTGTAGATAAGAGTGCAAGCCTTATATATTTGTTATATTTTTAAATAAAATTTAAAATCAAATCACCGTCCGATTCAACCAGACCCATGTAAAGGTATGACCCAAGAAAACCTGCTTGGGCAGCAAGACAGAAGAGGACGTTTCGAGATTTCATCTCAAACAAACGGAAACATCAACCGATAGAAGAGGAAAACAGCCCAATTCTTTAACCAAAGCAAGCAGGGAAAGGAAGATAAAGCCGTCTATATTCTGCATTTTTGTATAAATTTTGAGCTTTGCCTCGAGAAATATTTCTCCTTTTCTCTTGCATTTTCCCACATGTCCATGGCGATGGCGGGAACTGCAACCTTCAGTGTCTCATATTCCACTCCTATCTCCAAGGCTTCATCTGCACTTAGCTTCTCTTCAAGACCATTTCTTCTACCAATGCGTTGTACCCTCAAAACCCACTCTTTTCCCAGAATTCTCAATGCTTTTTCCACTTACCCACTTCATTTAACACACTCCCCTCGCAGAACTCTCAGTACTTTCGCCGCTTCCCACTTCATTTTCTGTTTTTTGAAACACCCTTTTTTTCTATAACGTGTTCTTGTTTTTGGTTTCAGGGATTCACGCTTTGGCCAGTAACGATGTCAAAGTTGGTACGAACCTTGAAGTTGATGGAGCTCCGTGGAAAGTTTTAGGTACTTGTTTCTGCAATTATGTCTGGTAACATATGCTTTGTTAATGAAAGCACACTGAGTTAGTCATCGTACTAAGTTGTGGTGTCGCAGTTGTGGATGTTGCGAACTTTATGTAGTGATTTATTTCCTAAAAATAACTATGTTTCTATGTTGCGGATGTGGTTCGATGTCGTCGATGATAGCAGCCGCAATTTAGAACTATTAGAGTAGTTTAATTCGTATGAAATGTGGTTGATTGTGTTTCTGATATGAAATTGTGGTTGTGGGATTTTGGTCCTTAAGAGTTCTTTATGTGAAACCTGGAAAAGGGACTGCATTTGTGAGGACCAAAATGCGCAATTATATCACTGGCAACACTGTGGAGAAGACGTTTCGAGCCGGAAGTCCGGTAATCTCCCACGTTTACTGCCGGCATTGTTTCTCTGTTTGCCTTTTTTTTTTCCTTTCATGCCTGAAATGTGCACTTTTTTTTTCCAGAATGAGGAGGCAGATGTTTTCAAGGAACAAAAGCAGTACACATACAAAGATGGTTCCCAATATGTTTTCATGGACCTGGTAATTTTTTATTCTGTATTCTTATACTCATTAGATACCTTGAATAAATGAATTCAAAGCTACCTTTGTTATACTTCTAATGAAACTTTAAAGCAATGCCATATAGTTCATTTAGTTACTTGTAATCGTCTGCGAAAACAGTAGTTAACTGCTCTCTTTCAGGTACTTGCAATACAGATGAGTCCGTGCTCCTAACAGTCTAATTCTTGGAAGATTCAATTACTATACTCATTTACTCTTTTCTGATGAACAATTGCACCGAAAGGTCATATTTCATCCCTTTCAGTCTTACAACGACGGTTACTTCTTACAGACCACGTTTGAAGAAGTCCGTCTAAGTGAGGCAGAGGCAGGCGACAAGACAAATTGGTTGAAAGAGGGTATGGACTGCTATTTGTTCTTTTGGGACGGAAAGGTATTTACGAAATCCGTGCTCAAGAAAGTGTTATTGTAGCCATCTGTGTTTTATGTATACTTATCAGCACCCGGTAATTAGTAGCAAAGATTAGCAACATATCCACTTCGTTGTCGGTTATTGATTTTGAGCTCCAATCACGGTTCAGCTTAAAGTGGTCGACGTTGACCCCGGTCTCAAAGGCGACACAGCTTCAGGTAATGTGATATAGGTTCTCATCAAGATCATCCCCTACCCCATCATGTTACTGATCTAAACTGTAAATTTCAACCATCCGTAACTTATGAAATGCAAAGGGTGAGTAAGTGCTTAAACTTGTGTCTTGAACTGAAAGTAATGTGGGTATATGGACTCTTTCTTTTACTCTTGTTGTTCGGACTCTTTTAAGTACTCGTGTCTCTCACTTGTGTTCAACATAACCCCATATTTGACACTCACGCGCGCCGAGTAAATACGAGTTTGGATTTTGTCCGGCCTAATGTAATCGTTTTGAAAGAGGTGGATCTAAGCCGGCAACTCTCGATACCGGTGCCGTGGTTAACGTTCCTCTGTCCGTAAACATTGGTGAAGAAATACTGGTGGATACCAGACCTGGAACATATATGAGCCGTGCATGAATATTTCCTGTGGAGAATTAGCATGTTTTTTAGAAATGTTTTTGTTTATATGAAATAAGATTCAACAATGCTATGCACAGATTGTTCTGCATGAATGTAGTTGTTTAACATGGGATCGTTTGATAATTTTAAAATTTTAAAACATAGGATTTTTTCAGTATTTGTTTTAAATTATAATTTTGTTTAACTTTTTTTTAAAATTTTTTTATGGTCACTATGTGGTAATAATTTTAAGAGTTAACTACATAGATGATAACTTATCTTTGTGTTTTGTCTATTTTTGGTCATTGATTTCAAAACACATAAGATATAATTACTTTTATTTTTATTTAATTAAGATATGGTCACCTTGAACTAACTGCTCCCGTTAACAGTAGTTAAATATTTTGATATATTCACATATTTTGACCATATTATATATATATTCTCTCAATTTAGTCATATTTTTAATAAATTAAAATAAATTATATATTTTTAAATGAAAATAAAAAAATAAAACATCTTTAAATTAAGTTAATAATAAAATATATTTAATAAGTTGAAATAAAAATATTTCAAGTTAATATATATAAAAGTTTTAAAAATTCACAATATATAATTGAAATAAAATTTATTAACATTTGAAATAAAGAAATATAATTAAATTTCAAATGTTTTAAAGTTAAAATAAATATTTTAAAAAATAATTTAGAACATTAATGTGAAATAATTTATGAAATTAAGAATTTAGAATGTTATTAAAAAAATTATATAAAAAATCTAAAAGTTAAAATTTAAAATTTTTAAAAATTCAAAATACATAATTGAAATAAAATTTATTAAAATTTGAAATAAAGAAATATAATTAAATTTCAAATGTTTTAAAGTTAAAATAAATATTTTAAAAAATAATTTACAACATTAATGTGGAATAATTTAAGAAATTAAAAATTTAGAACGTTATGGTGTCAAAATTTAAGAAATTGAGATTTTAGAATATTAGAGTGAAATAATTTGAGGATTATGAATAAAAATTTAATATAAAATAAAAATGAAAAATAAAAAGTATATAATGAATCGTGTACTGGGTCAGAGGGTACTCAATTAACCAACATTTGGTGACCCATGCTCGACCCATAAACCTGGCCGAATACTCGACCCGGAAAATTGGGTATTTTATTATAAATACGCGATATTTTTATCCGGGTCAACGGGTTAGCTCTATCGGATCGGGTTTTTGAACAACCTTACTGACATAACATTTGGCATCGTTCGATTGGAGGGTTAAATTATTTTAATTTATGAAAAGTATTACTAAATTGAAAGAATATGTAAATAATAGGGACCAAATGTGTGATTATATCAAAAATATTTAACTTTTGTTAACGGAAATTAACTCAAGATGACCACATTTTAATTAAATAAAAACGTAAGTACCATATCTTATTTAAATAAAAACAAAGGTGATAATATCTTATGTTTTTTGAAATCAGTTATCAAAAGCAGACAAAACACAAAGATAAGTTACCATCCATGTAGTTAACCCGAAATTTTAATATGTATATTGTTCCAGATAATTTTGATTAAAATATAATAATTTCTAATAATTTTTTGATACAAAACATAAAGCCTTCTCATGCCTTAATATTCGCTGCCGTGTATTCTTCCATCATCCCCCAAATCACGAACTCCATATTCCTCTGCATCAAATGAATATCACAGAAGCAATTCCAACCTTTAATCCGTCGAGGAAGAAAGAAAATACCGACATAGATGTATCACAGTAGCAGTGATCTTACCAGGATTGTGTGTTGTAATTGGCATATACCGCAACTCCGGCGACAGCTAATCCGAGAATTATCGGCCAAACAATGATCTTCCGGTGATTGTGTGTCTGGAAACTGAGTTCCTTCCTTGCCAAGGAAATAGATTTGCTTTCGCAAAGCGTGTAACCGTCGCCGGAATACTTAACACCGTTAACTACGGGACACTCGCACACTCTTCCGCGGAAGGTGTCCTACAAGCAAAGCAAGGGCATTAGCAAAAACGGATGAATTGAACATATAATGTAACAAAACTGACATACTCTGCATGCAGTAATGTTAGCAATGCTGTCCTCCCAGCACCCGCCGTTGTTTTCCGAGCACCGATTAGTTTGTATATCCGGCATGACTGTTCATTCAAAATACAAATACGAATTCATCATTACTAAAGTAAATGCTAGCAAAGGATAGTTTCTGCAATCATTTTAGCACACAACAGTGCTTAAGTAACTCTTTCATTTGATTCATCGGCAAGAAAAGGAGGGCACGTTGTGTGCCGAATCGGCGATAAAATGCTCGTAAATCGAGTGCAATAGATGATGACCTTTACTTGAACAAATTTCTGGCTCGATGGTATCTCGAAAACCTGCACAAATTGCCTTGAGAACAGCTCCTTTGTCCAACTTCCCTTAATCCATAGGAGAAGGCACGGTTATGAAATGTAATTAATGCAATCATATTGACGACGACAACGACGGGCAATACATATACGAACCTCGATAGTGTCTGTCGTTTATCAGAAGTGACGGCAGCATAGTAACGTCTTCGCGGATGCCTCTGCCGGTCTGAAACCGAGATTACAGCATAAGTTAAGACTCTCAATGCTAATGGGACTAATTCCTTTTCACCTACAGGAGTTGAAGAAATAGCTTAACCTTCGTGTCTAGTTCAGCTTCAAGAATCGGATTCTCGACATCAGCCTCGGGGTCACCGATACAGTTGTCTATTTTAGTGAGATCAATACCAAGAGATCGGATAACTTTATCTGCACATTCTTTGGTAGACTTCTCTTTTGACGGGCAGCGGATCGCAAAGTCCGTAACATAGTCCCACCAAAGCCATGGAGTTCCTCTTTCACTAGCAACTTTGAATAAGCAGGCTTGGCGAAGATTTTGAACCATCACATCTTTACCACCATATCCTCTGCCGGGGTCATATCCGAGATCGGGAGCACAGTACCGCCCGCGATTGATACATTGCGACTTGCATTGTTTGCTCGAAACAAAAGGCTGAGGGCAAGACCAAGTCATATAGTGAGGGGCGAAACGTGTGTACCCTCCCTTCTCCAGTATTTGAGCAGCTCCTTTGAAGTTCTTGACGAATTCGAGCTGGCTGTCGCACGTTGGCCCACATTCGTAGTCGCTATTAGTCCAAAACTCGTACTTGACTCGCTCGTCGAGACCGAGAAGAGGCTCCGTCCAATCGAGTTTATTTCAACGATGTCATGATTACTAAGGGCCTCCTTGATGCTGTTTCCTAGTGATTTAGTAATCAGGGCTGATGGAATGGTGATGTTCTGCACATATTCGGCATCGGCGTACACTTCTTCCGGTGTATTCATGGTAATCAAGGGCATATCGGTGTAGTCGGCGACAAGAACAGCGGCGGCTCCGGCTTGTTGAGCATGCCATGTTTTCAAGGCGAAGAAGCAATCTGCCACAACAGCAAACAACATTATTACTAAGCAAGAAACAGTTAAAATCAAGTTAGAGAAAAAGCATAGATAATACTAATACCTCCTCGATCAACAAGGAGAACAGTGGGGAGTGCACCATTGCTTGATTTGAAGTAGACATCATGTTCATCAAAGGGCATGCATCCGCGTTTGTTCGGTTTGGGATAATGACCGTGCCGACCAACGTTCCGCCGTGCAGAGGAATCCCGAAACTCGCGATCGAAGACTCGTAGACCCTGACATCGAGCTCGGCGATGTCACTTTCAAGCTGTTCTTCTCCACTACAAGCTGCACAAACAATTCCCCCATAACAGAATGCATACACAAATTAAGACTCCAAACTTCTCTCTCATCTTTCCTGTAATTGAACTCAAAATGAAACAATGAAAAATACTGGAAAATTAAGTCACCTTTCCCCCCCGGGTGGGTTATATTGTGTGTCTTTAGCTGAAGCAATTTCCAAAGTGTTTTGGAACATAGCAAGTTTTAAAATATTAATTTTATAAATCCAATGTTTTGAACTTTGGAATATAATGTTGTCGATTCATCGTACGATACAGGAGAACAAACATGTACCGACATAGGATTTTAGCTTAGGGAACGAACTTGAACTTATAAAATATTAAGGGGGTAACTTGAATTTATAAAATTCTAGGGATAGAAAAAAAACTTCAATAGAAAATTTATATGGCTGACCGCCCCGCCTAGGTTCATCCTTAATGGTGATGAACGCTCATATATCCTTCATGATGTGTTTATTAATTTATTAAATAAAAAATATCTCTAAAATTATAGGTAGGATAAACGTTAGATCGAGTCAAGTGGAGTGGAGTCAAAAAATTTCGAGTTATTCGAATTGACGGTCTTATTTTACAACTCGAAGTTGATTGAGATTTTTTCCTAGAAAATTCGAGTCAAGTTGAGTCGAATTTCGAGTTTCTGTTTAAATTTAATTGTAAATATTTATGATATTATAATATATTTTATTCCATATTCTTCATTTTTTGGTAAATTACACGCTTACTCACTGAATTTTACTCTCTCCTATTCTATTTGTCGTATTTTCAATTTTTTCAATTTGCTCACTGAACTTTAAACATTGAACTTTTTTTATCACTCATTTGATGACATGAATTATTTATTATTTTTCCATATTACATGTCGTATTTTATTAATATTTTTAATACGAAATATGATTAAAATAAAAATAAATTTGAAATTACAATTATACCCTTAAATTATACCCAAATTCTCAAATTATATCTCAAACCCTAATCCCCAAATTACAACCCACCCACCATCACCCTTGACAATTTCATCCTTCCACCGCGGCCACCCTCCCACCGACGAACGATCAAGT